GAATCCCGGGAAGGTTGATGCTTACATCCGGGCACCTTTCTGTCAGGAAGCCTATATAAATAGTAGCTCTGAAAGCTGGAGAAATGAACAAACAATAGAGCTAAGAGAGGCCACGTCTCATTCAGTCTACACAATGTGTCCAATAGTAGAAATGAGCCAGCAATACATTACTTTCTGCAAATTTGCCCAGTCTGTTCAAAACAAATACGTTAAAAATGGATTATTCACCATTTATGTGTCAGGGAAGTAATAATAATGTCTTTATTGCACATATTAATGTTTTTGAGTGCTTCCAAAGTACTGTGGAACTTCAAAACATTTTCGAGTTTCAGAGAATTAATTAGTTCCCCTGTGGAGAAGCTCACGAGCAAAATTGCCATTTTGGAGATGAAACGATTGAGTTGGAAAGGCAAGGGGTGTTAAATTATTCATCTTTTCAATAAGCAGGCATCAAGCACCCACTCCATGCATAGCTCTGGTTAACAGTTATGGGGCATAAACTGATTGGAATAATGTCACTGCTTTCAAGGAACTTACAGTCTAGTGGGGAAGTGAATTTGTCAACAGCTAGCTCTAATACAAGTCAACATAAGGCCCAGATAAGATGGATAAACATGAGAAGCTAGAGGAAATTATGATACAGGACTGGGAAGAAAGTTAAATTGCAGAGTCCCATAAAAACCATGAGAAGGAATTTGGTCTTTACGCTGTCATCATGAAAATTCAAAAAATATATATAGAGAGAAATAATTATGAATTAATTTAAATAGCTAATCCTCCAATTAAAAAAAATAAACCCATTTCACCCACCCTCCAAGCACCTCCCCCTGGGGTTGGGGAAGGAGGTCTGGCAACTATTGATTTTTTTTCTGTATTTAAGAGTGTTTATTGTTTTTACATTCCACATATGCATGTGATCATATAGTATTTGTCTTTCTGTCTGATTTATTGCAATTAGCATAATGTCCTCAAGGTCTATCCAAGTTGTCAGTAATGACAGGATTTCCCTTTTTTTAATGGCTAATATTCCATTGTGTGTATGTGTGTGTGTGTGCACATGTATGTATCATATTTTCTTTATCCATTCATCCATCAATGGATATGCAGTTTGTTTCCATGACTTGGCTATTGTAAATAATGCAGCATTGGACATGGGAATATAGATATCTTTTCAAGACAGTGATTTCATTTCTTTCAGGTAAATACTCTGAACTGGAATTGCTGGATCATATGGTAGTTATATTTAAAAATTTTTAAGGGACCTCCATACTCTTGTCCATAATGGCTGCATCAATTTACATTCCCAACTAGTCCTCCAGTTCTTAATGAAATGATCTCAAGAAATGGAAGAAAAATCGAACCATTTGCCTAAATCATCCAAATGATGTGCTAGTTCACTAGTTTACTTTGCCTGGTGAGTTCTGGGTTTAAACTTATACGCAGATGGAATTGTTTGTAAAATGGGCAATGCTTAGCTGTTGAGGTTTTCATTATCCAGGGAAGGTCTGATTGTTATTGGGGCTGCCTTTGTGAACTCAGCTGCATGAAACAAGGAACATTATGAGAAACTGTAAAGATGCACAAGAGGTACACGTGGAAAGAAACTGAGGTCCCTGGCCCTCAGCTCCCACTGAACACAGCATGTGAATGAGCCACTTGGGAAGTCAGTCCTCCAGTTCTGAGCCCAAGGGCCCTAAGCTGACCCTGAGGCAGCCATAAGAGAGCCTTCCAACCCGAGCCTTCTCCAAATTCCACATTCAGGCTGATAAGCCAAGAAACTGTAGGGTGGTTTGTTATTAACAATACTTAACTGAAACACCTTCCACAAAAGATTCATGATATTAATGTCTTCATGCCTTGATCCAATTCATTCAATAGAAAGCAGGATTTCAGGCACCTCTACTCTTCAGATTTCAGTAACTCAACTCAGGGCACATAGAAATGTATTTCCATTTCTGTAGAGAGTTTTAAAGGGAGAATACAATTCAGAATTCAAGGAATTTGCTTTACCTGTACAATTATTGGAACACATTGACTTTAAAACCATAAATAAACTGACCACACCAGTAAATGACATTTGCCTCTATATTTCTGTAACATTTGTAATATACACAGACAAGTTTTACAAAAGCCCCACCTCTCTGAGGTCCATAGTTTGTTTTGTGGAGTGTCACTAAGGTAGATGTGAAGGTCATTTAATCTGATGGCCCTTGAGTGCTAGGCTTCCTTCTCTAATTCCCTAATCAAGTTACAAATAAAGCTTTTCATACCTCCTCTCCTCTTCTTTTTTTATAGGCTGTCAAGACAAGTCAGGGGCAGAAGCCAATCAGCTCTCTGTATTAAACAACATATTTTGCTGAGCTGGACTTGACTCCCGGTTGCTACAAAACAAATCTAAGTTTATATCAGAGGTGACAAACTCCATGCCCTGTCATTTATCCTTTTTATAGCATGGGCAACACCAATAGTCAGCATGTCCTGTTGATTATGTGATCAACTAGAGCAGAAAGCATCCAAGTCTAGAGGTTTCTTGTGTCAATAGTTGGAAATTGTTTCCTTTGATTAAAAGAAAAACAAATTAAAAACAAATCCCTTTGCGTTTGGTTACCATATAATTTTCTGAACAGATAACCATAATCCCAGGGATAAGTACTATTAATACCTGACTGTATATTACTCTAGTCCTGAGTCTAAATATACATATTCACCTCTATACAATTAATGATAGTTGAAAGGAAAGCATGTTGAGATTTTACTATGCACTTGGCACTATATTAAGTGCTTCAAAATACTATGTAAGACACAACACTATGAGGTAAATAACATCAAGACATTTATATAGTTGAGGAATTGGAAGTTCAAGTCCAACATCAAATACCTAGCAAGTAGAAATGTCTGGCTCTAAACTTTAGATTTGTCAACTCCAAATTTTAATTCTTACTCTTCTATCTCTCATCTTGTGCATCTAATTTTTTAAACTAAAATTATATTATAATCATCTTTCATGACAATATTCAGCTATTCTTACAACAGTTTAATGTCTGGTCAGTATTCCATTTATAGATTTACAAATTATCTCGCCATTCTTCTCTTCATAGATAGATATTTGAGGATGGTTTTGTTAGTGTTTAATTTTCCACTAGTATAAACAACACTGTGATGAATAGTTTCACTGCAGTGAATAAATTTTGCTGTACATCTATAATTATTTCCTGGCGATGAATTTCTGAGTTGTAGGGACAATGGCATGCAAAAATTTTATGCTTTCAAGAGCAATGCCAAATTTTCCTTCAAAAAATTATACCAAATTACGTACCTGTCATCCATGTGTACCTGTGTCTGGGTCCTAAAACATCATTTTAACAACACAAACCAGACAGAATAAACAAAACTTCAAACCTCAACCTTTCTAATCACAGTATTACCTTATAAGTCCTTTTTGCAAATCTCCTACAAAGTATGGGACCTTTTTCATACTATATCCCCTGATCTGGGGTATCTACCCTATAATTCATAGGAAATGGGGACAAAAAAAAGAACAATTTTAAATATCCCCAAAGTACAAAGCACATTTCTTACCTCTCAGCAATGAATGACTGCTCAAACTGTCCTAAAATATATCTAGAATAGAAAACCTCATTGTATATAAGGAAACCTCGGCAGGCTTTCAACATACTTGACATAAGTCACAAAATGATAAAAATTTTTTAGTCTTTCTCCAGCTGGAATGGGTTTGCTCTGGGTGTTAGCAGCTAGCACATCTCTCTTTGCTCTATACGACTTGATTTCCCTTGCCTCTGAAAATTCAGCAGAGGTTGGGTGGTCAGTGAGAGAAGATCATCTAGAAACAAAAATGAATTAAATAGTTTTATACTTTAGGCCAAACGGGCTGCATGTGTGACTATATGTGTCCTCTTGTTCCTCCAAACTCTTGAAAATTTCAGCGCCCAAGTCTCTAATTCTAGACACACTGTGATTTAACTGTGTTTGAAGGAGAAAATGACCTTCAACTGGTTAAGCTTTCCTTGAGTACCCACTATATACAAAACAGGGCTGGATATTGCAGTGCAAACCAAAAAAGGAAGAAAAAAAGAAAAAGTAAGAAAGAATCAATCTATTAAAAAAATCTATAAATATGTAAGTTCTGCAAATGATTGGCAAATACAGTGTGGCAACAAAGAGAAGGGAAAGATTAATTCTGCCTGGAGTGAAGGGTTGGGGGGGGGTGGCAGGAAAAGTGTGGTAGAAGAAAGTGTCATTTGTAGATGCTGGGAAGGCCGGTTCCTCAGGCCTCCACCGCCCGCCTTTTTCCCTTTTTTTTTTTTTGATGCAGATCTGATAAATAATTTAAATCGTGAAATATGAACATTATTAAAACCAACAATTTGCTTTCATCTTAGGGCACGCTTCTTACAGGGCATATAAACTGTAGACTCCCTGTCGGCTGCACATTAAATGTCATCCCTGGAAAAGGAAGGAAACGCTGAATTCTCCTAAGGGGGTAGGGATCAGGAGCCACCAGTCAACCCCAACATTCTGGGCTTCAGGAAGTTCAGGGGGGATCATTCTGAGATCTGATCACGGAGCGCTCAGGAGGTACCCCATCTTACTCAGTCCCCCGCCCCCCAGAAAAAAACCACTACAGTACTTGGTACCTAGTAGACAATCATTCGTGGAATGAATTTTAAGCATCTGCTTTTTTCCCCATTTAAGGACAATCAGCGCATCACCACGTTACGCTGCTTCTGCTAGTTTAATTCAGCTCTGATCTCAGTTGTTGGAAAAACGGGAGAAAGAACGGGGCTGTAGAGTCCTCAGAGCGGAGCTCTGCAAGGGGGTGTGAGGAAGGCAGGCGCGGGCGGCGGAGGGAGCTGACGCTCCCACCCAGCTCCGCGCCTCGCTCAGCAAACGCTCAGCCCCCGCCCTCTCTCCATTCCCGACCCCCAGCCTGGAGGGGAGAGGGCAGCGCCGGCGAGAGGGTGGCACGGCTCTGACCGTCACGTTTACTGCCTGCTGCTTTCCTAGTCCTCGGCCTCCTCGCTCCTCCTCCCTGAGTCCCGACCCGGGTTTGGAGGCGATTCCCCTCTAGTGACTGAGCTGGTTGCATCTCCTGGCCAACGGCGCTTCGCCTCCCTCGCTCCTTTGTCTTCTCCTGCGAGGCTCCGGGGCCGAGCGCAGGGTCTGCAGAGGCCGCCGCAGCAGCGGTAGCCCAGCCGGGCCCTGCGCTGCCGCCCGGGCCGCACCCTCGCTCGGCGGAGGTGCCGGAGGACGCCAGCCGAGCCACGCACAGCCCGCGTCCCGCGCTCCAGTCGCCGCGCACCAACGCTGCGGCCGCCGCGGCCGCAGACAAGCCCTCCCTCCCGGCTGGTCCCGGCAGAGGTGGGCAGCTCGCCGGGCAGCCGGCTGAAGAGAACGGCCGCAGCAGCCCCGGCAGCACGCACACCCCCAGGCACACGCATCCAACGCCTTGTCCCTGCGCCACGAGGATGAAGCAGCCACCCCGGACCGGGCTGGCGCAAGGTAAGGTGCAGCCGCCTGTTGCTTTTCGCAAAGCGCGGTGTAGTCCCTCCGCCAGGGTGTAGGCCGTCCCTCGCGGGACAAGTAGAGAACTGTCACCCCAGTTTGGAGCCGAGTCTAAAATCTATGGTCCTCTTGGGCGCAGACACTTGGAGAGACCCCTTCTGGCGAGGGGGAGGCGACCCTCTTTGCTCGCGTGCAGCCGGCTGGCTGCCTTGGCAATAGTCTGCAAACTTTTGTGCCCCCTCCCTGCCCTCACTTCGTGCAGTGCTCACCTGGGGCCGTGCAAGTTGCACGTCTAGTTCCCGCGTGCGCCCTCTCCCCAGCCCCCACCCTTCCCTTGCCATATGCTTCTGCCCATTTCCCCCTCTGTGTTCCTGCCAGTGGACTTTTCACTCCCTGCAGCTCCCACTAGAGAGGCGAGTGTTTGGGACCCAGCAATGCTCCTCCTGCCCGTAGGGGTTGGCTAGGAGCCGAGATTGTGAAATAGAGGAGGTGGGACGCAGGAAAAGCCTGCGGCCACAACTGGGGTTCGGTCTAGCGTGGCGAGAGTCGGGCTACCCAAGGGAATGCTACCCCCAACTCGGTAATGAAACCCTTGGAGTGGCTTGCTGCTGTGCGCCGAGGTAACAGCGAGTGCAGATTCGGGAGGGGGAAGTAAGTGATTCGGGGAGGGAAAGGTTGCTGGTAGGTGGGGGAGGAAGCTGAGGATCGGGGATAGATTTGGTTGAGAGGGGATCAGAAGGCTCTGCTGAAGTGGGCGAGGGGCCAGCCCAGAGCCGTCACCTGACCGGGAGGAAAAGGGATATGAGTCCGAGGGCGCTGGCCCGGGTGTGTACATACAGATGGGGGAAGGGGCCAGGCACCTGGGAAAGCGCAGAGGGGCCGAACGGAGCGCTGGGACGCGCCGCGGCCTGGGGGGTTTGGGAAATAAGACTTCTGGGTGCCTGAGATAGGGTGATCTTCCTCTCCAGGAGAAACAAACCTCCCTGCGAGATTCTGAATGCTGAATGCATCTTGGGCTGTGACAGAGTGGTCATACGGTGGACCAGGGATGCTTTTACTGGCTCTGAGAGGACCATAGTCCCCTTGCCCAGGACCTCGCTTTTATACCTTCCACCTCGGTACCCGGCCGGTAAACCCACGCCCACCTTCCCTGCCTGTCGTTCGGGAGTCCAGGACGCCTCCGCACCCGCAGGGTGGGAAGGGCATTCCTGGCCCCGAGCCGGAGGAGTTTGTGCAGGGCAGAGGGGAGTCAGAGGGAAGTCCCCAGCGCTTGGAGAGTAGACAGGGGTCCGAACCGGTTGGAGGTGAGCGCAGGGGCGGAGGCTGCGGTGGGAGCCTCCTTTCCCCCCGCCCCTCCGCAAATCGCACCTGGGCGGAGCAAGGGAGTGCGGGAGCCGGGCGCTGCGCCGGGAGGCTGGAGCGCAGAGCCGGAGGGCGTGCAGAGAAACGCAGGGCGAGGGGTGGGCAGCGGGTGAGGGAGACCTGGTTCCCATGACCGGGGTCCGGGCGGAGGTGGGTCTGTACGCCCTGCAGCCCCTACGTAGACGCTTCTGGTTGTTCCAGACGCTTTGGCGGATGCCGGAAGGCGAAGCTCTTTCCTCCTTTGCACCCCAGCAATCTGGAATAAAAGACCGTCTGCGGGAGGGGGCCTAGACTGCTGCGGAAAAGAAGGGGCAGACCCCGGGCTTCATTTATCCTGGTAGGGGACGCACTGGACTGCCAAAGGCCTGGAATCACCTCATTCAATCCTTCTCTTTCCGAGGAGGTGCACGCCCCTCTCCTAGAGGCGCCTTTGGCTGAGAGTCCCTTTACCGATTCCCACTGGCCCCATAGAAGAATTTGGAGGTTGCATCCACGTAAATCCTCTGGTCGTTCCTGTTCAGACCTCCCACATGCAGGTTTTCACGGGCACAACCTTGCCTGCAGTTCCCCTGTAGAAGTCTCCTGCCCTCCCATACCAACTGGGGGAAAGCAGAGCTCAGCGCAGTTCCCTTTTCTGGGCCCCAAGCCTTGGCCAGACCTTGCTGGAAGAGACGTCGACTAGCCAGGGCTCCGGGAGGAATCCCGAGGTCGGTCTCTCCTGTCCCGGGGCAACCCCGGAGCAGCGAGCTCCCTGTCTCCCCACCGCAAGCTTCCAGCCCAAGGAGCTGGACTGGGGATTCCCTCCGCACAGGCTCCGGGGGCACCACCTGAGCACAAAGGCCACACCCTCACGGGCCAGGCTTCTGCCGAATTACCGGGACACCTGAGGTAGGATCCCAGAATTCATTCACGAGATTTAGCTTCCAACACCCCAGGGCTGGTTTCTTTCTGAATACTTAGCACCTGGATGTTGCTCAGGCCATTTCGCTTTTCATGTAGAAACAAGTTGGAACATGTCCCTTGGGGTTTCTTAAAGGAAGACTTCAAATCCACAGTAAGGTGGTTTCTTCAGGTTGCTGCGCTATTTGGGGGAAGACAGGTGGTAATAATAATAAGGGGCACTAGCATGTACTGAGCTCTTATATTGTGCCAGGCACTCACTATTCTGGTATTTTATATTCACTGTTGTAGTTGTAATCTTCACAACGACTCTGGAAGATCAAGTTGTTTTCCCCATTTTATTGGTATGGAAACTAAGCCTTGGAGAAATGAAGTTATTTGCTCATTGTTATTCAGCCACCAAGTGGTGGGGTTAGTTGGTTTTGCCGGTGAACGCTGGGTGTGTCTCATGCTCTCAGCCCTGTTTGGAACTGAAGACCCTTTGTCCACAAGGAAGCAGGGATTTACTGCAGACCCCAGGGGCATACTCTAAGCCCCCAGCCCTTGCCTGTGAGCTCCTGAGGCTGTAGCACAGGGCAGACTGATGGTGCATGTTGCCCTCTTCAGAATCTGTTTGGGGATGCACCTTGGTAGGATGGGATCCTGATACTGGAAGCAGATTTGGGGAATTGGCTGCTGCATTGGACTTCTTTTCTGAGCCTTTGATGGTCATGCCTATGTTAAACAGGCATGGAGAGAGAAAGGGAAGGAAGGAGGAGAAAGGGAAAGAAGGATCCCAATGTGAGTAGAGATTTGCTCTGTGGTCACAAACTACCGAAACCATATTCTGCACCTGAGTCCCTTTCTGGAGACCGAATCACAGAATTATTAGGGCTAAAGGGATCTCAGATATCATGGTTCCCAGTCCAGATGCAGGGAGGCGATTCAGTGATGTGCTCAAGGCCACTGTGTTTCTAGCATGACTGGTACTTGAACCACTACCTTCTGACCCTTGGCCCAAAAAAACTGTTTCTGCATAAATAGATTGTGTTCACTGCTGCTGGTTTTCAACATCTTAAATTTAATTAGGGAAAAACTTGTTTATTTAACAAATAGACCATTTTGCTAATTTTTCATAAATGCCTCAATCAGCATGACCAGAAAAAGTCACTGTCATATAATGGATAAGCCACCACAAATGTGCTTCTTTTGCAAAAAATTGCAGTGGAATATTTATTAGCCTTCAAATCTACAAAAATTAACCATGAAAGCCTTCAGATGATTCTAAATGAAGTTAAATGGATTCTGAACCATTTTAGCATAGTCCTCTGTCAAGTTGAGTAGCTCTGTCCTGCCCTGCTCCCAGGGTTTGAGAAAATAAGAGAACATCAGGGAAAACTCCTTTTCAATACAGTGAAATTATTTTGTTATTACATCTTCTGGATATCTGACCTTTGGTTACAGTTTGGGCTAATGTAAATCTGAAGCAAAACAGTGTCTTTCTGGTGGACATATGCGGGGCTCAGAAAGGAGAACAGAGTTATCTGCCACTTTCTCACCCATGGACCCCTTTAGAAAAGGGGACTTTCTCCAGGCCCTTAGGAGTCCCATGTACCCCTAGGCATTCTTGCAAGATAGAATTCTGGTTTCTAAGGACACCCCATGTCTTCTCTCTGTGACTACAGTACCCGGATGCCCTTCCCCTGGAGACAAATCAACAAAAAGTCTGTTGGAGTAAAAGGTGGGGAGGACTGGGGGAAGCTTGTTCCTCAGATCACATCTGGACGGGAAGAGTTACAGGCACACAGATGGTGGAAACTTGGTGCCTTTTTTGTGACCTGGAACAGGATTTCCATCCCTGATGCAATGACAGGACAGGATAGGGGTCCTTAGGCTATAACTTGGGGTGGGAATAGTGCTTCAAGGGGGCATGGGGTGGGGGATGGAGATGAGACTTGGCTGATCAAGGGCTGTGGTGTGACAGAAATGGCAGTAGACTGCCTGACCTAAGAGGTGCTTTTCTTCCTTCTTCTCCTGATACTCACCACCTCAGTGGGCCATCAGTGTTGAGTTAACTGAGCTGAATCCCAGAGTCCCCAGTTATCTCAAGGGAAGTGCTCATTTTCTCGAGAATTCATTAGTAATGTATATTGTATTTAGGTAAGTAGGGAAAATGTAGTCACAGCTGCCCCATTCTTCAGAAGAACCATTGAGAAAGAGACCATCCCAGAAAGGTAATCTTCTGAAGGTCAGGACGCCAGTTTAGCTAGACTATAGCAGCACTCCAGAAAAAACAAGACATAACACTGAAATCAAGTAGGACAAAATCCAAAAGAAACAGTCTCCCTTCCTGTCCTGACTTGTCACAACATCATGGAAGAAGAATCTGTTTGGACCTGAGCAGACCTCCTGGTTGGTAATTCTTAGCTTTTCAGGGATGTTAGGGGAGAAAGATGTAGCCTCATCCTATTTTGCTGACCTGCATCTCCTCTGTATACTTTACTGTGGCTCCTGTGTGGGGTAATGTTCAAGGGCCCACATGGCACTTTTGTTGGGGCAATTCTTTGGGTGTGTATTTATCTTAAATCATATCAATATGAGTTTGTTGACAGAATAATCATTATTATTATGTGACACGTTATGGGAGAAAGCTTATGAAAAATTGAAACCTTTTCAGAATACACAGAATCAATATGTTTATGCGATACACAGTGTGAATGAAAATTCCCAGTTTGGGTTAGATATTTAAAAGTAAT